TGCCAGGGACTGTGCTACCAGGCCCAGGGCAGGCTCCTCCTATCTGTGCCAGGATGGGGCACACTCACCTTGCCCTGGATCCTTTGGGTCTGAGAGGGAAGCCTGCAGGGACCACCGGGTCCTCACCTGGCCCAAGGGCAGAGCTGATGCCCTTCTGTTCCCCGAAGCAAGCCAAGAGGTGGAGGATCTGGGGCCTGGTGCCAACTCTGTCACAACCCAGCACGGCCCACCCACCACTGCCATATTGCTGATGCCAGGTTGAGCAGTCTCTGCCACCCACGTGCCCACCAGAAAGAAAGCACGCAGGAGCCCCAGCACTGACAAGAGGTGGAGAGTGACCCCACACAGGCCCTGTTCCGGGAACCAGGTGCCGGTTACTATGAGGAAGCAGGGGATGCTTTGACAATGGGCTCCCTGGGCTGGCTACGGCCCAGGGGAAGAGACCCTGCCCAGCCGGTGTGAGCCCTGGGTTCCTGTCCCAGCCCAGGGGGCAGGACAGGAGAGAAAGAAAGACTAAAAGGTAGAGTAGATACACTCTGATGTCCACAAACCACGCTCCAGTCAAGAGCTGAACCAGCTGGGCGAGAGGCACCACCGTGATCCCAGCTAAGGCAGGAGGATGGCAAGAGAGAGGCTGGCCTTGATGTTGGCAAGACCCTCTCCCCAAAATACAGTAAGGTGGGGAGCCCCTGGATTCTGGTTGAACCAGAAGGAAGGAAGGAAGGAAGGAAGGGGTGGAGGGAGGGAAGGAGGGGTATAGTCCTAAGTTTCAAAATCTATGTCCTAGCCCAAAGGAAAAATTTGAAAATGTGGAATCTTAAGTAGGTTTATTGGAAAACAATAAATCAAAAAGAATACATTAAGCTCTTTTTGTGGGGGGCGGTACTGGAGATTGAACGCAGGGGTTTCTACCACTGAGCTGCATCCCCGGTCATTTTCACTTTATGAGACAGGGTCTCTGAGTTGCTAAGGAGCTCGAGATCCTCCTGCCCAGACTCCTGACCCTGATCACAGGCGTGGCCCCTGACCTGGCTGTACGCGGAGCTGCCACCGGACGGAAACTGACGGGTTGCTAGGGCTTCCGAGTCTGTCTTCATAAAGGGCCTGGGACATAGATTTCTTGTCCACTTTTGGTTTGTGGAAGAGCCCCACCTCCTCTGTTCTTTCAAGCAGTTTGTGCAACATGGCACTACCCCTGAGAGTCTGCTAGACCTGCCTGACAAGGAGCTGGGCCCGGGGACATTTCCAGGGGTAGATCTCGACCACATTTCCCGCTTCTTCTAGCGCCCATCTTAGTATCTATTCTCTGGGAAATCATCTGTATTTCCTTTTATTTCGTTCATGATGTTTGGTCCGAGCTTCTTGTTATTTCTTTACTATTTCCCCCCATAGAGGGGATTGAACGCGGGGCTCTACCTCCGAGCCACATCTCCAGACCTTTCTTCATCTTTTACCCTGAGACAGGGTCTCCCCAAGTTGCCCGGCTGGCCTGGAGCTTTCGATCCTCCCGCCCAGCCTCCTGGAACGTGGGGCTACAGGCCCGCGCCTCGGTGCCAGCTTCTCCTGACTTACAGATGACCATCCTGCCTGTGCGTGCGTCGGCTCCTCGGCCAGCCTGGCCTGCTGGTCACTGCCCCACCCCTCCTCCCCAGCTCAGGAGGGGACTTGGCCCATCGGTGAGCCCTTGATTTTCATCATTAGATCAACAGGCGTTGCTATAGACTCCTCCAGTCAGACACTATAAAAATGGGAAGCGCCCACGCTCCATTCCTGCAGTCTTCTTGACACAGAGGAGGTACCAGAAGTTCAGGGGGCTCTTGTGGGAGGCCACAGGACACAGCTGGAGCTGCTCTGAATCTGTGGCCACCTGACTCTGCCACCCTCTCTTCTTGCTCTGCACTTGGGGCCTCCATCCCCTGGGTGACTCCTTGACTATTTCTGCTTTTTTTCTCTTTTCTTTTCCTTTTAGGTACCAGAGATGGAACTCAGGGGCACTCAACCACTGAGCCACATCCCCAGCCCTATTTTGTATTTTATTTAGAGACAGGGTCTCACTGAGTTGCTTAGCGCCTTGCTTTTGCTGAGGCTGGCTGTGAACACGTGATCCTCCTGCCTCAGCCTCCCGAGCCGCTGGGATGACAGGTGTGCGCCAGTGCACCCAGCTGCTTCTTTTCTTCACTGACTTGGCTCTCTCCTGTTCCCCTACCTTAGTCCCTCTTCTGTTGCTATAATAAAATACCCAAGGCTGAGTAATTTATAAAGAAAATGGTTTATTTTGCTCGAGGTTCTGGAGGCTGAGAAGTTCAAGAGGAGGCCGTATTTTACCACATATTCATCACAGATTTTATGTCAAATATTTTTGCAAAGAAGTGGGGTGTGGACCTTATGTGAAGCTTTTTGTTTGTTTTGTTTAACTGCGCTAGTAGTTATTTATTACTAAACTGTCTGTGGTCCAAGATTAGGATGCCGGGGATACTCATAGATCTATCTATGTCAAGATCAAATAGTCCAAAGCCACGCACATCATTTCTTTGTGACAGTTCCGCAAACATTTTTCCAGTCTGAAAAACAATAAGGTGAACACACTGGTTGCTGTCGATTGTGCATATAGTCAAAATACCACGCTTGACAAAATTTACTACGGCTGCGGCTGCGTTACAAAGCACAGATTTTCAAATGCTAATCCTCCACCGTGGGCTGCAGCCAAAGACTGCCCGACTTCCTCATCTGAGTCGCGGTCCTCAGCGCTCTGCTGAGGTGTGCCCAAGGGCACCTGGGCCTCTGAGCAGCCCCGCAGCCCTGGGACTTGCAGGCTGGCGGCTGGGCTCAGGCGCCTGCAGGAGTCCCTGGCAGGCCCCGCGGCCTCTTTGCCTTTCTGGGCCTGAGGACCAACGCTGCCCCTGGAGGATGATGTGAGGAGAGATTTTAAACCAGATTTTGGATTCAAAAAACTGGGTGCACGGGCTGGGGCTGGGGCTCAGCGGTAGCACACTTGCCTGGCATGTGTGAGGCGCTGGGTCGAGTCTCAGCGCCGCCTGTGAATAAATTTGAAAAATAAAGGTCTATCAACAACTACAAAAATATTTTTTAAAAATCCTGGGTGCAACGATCACGGGGAGAAGCACAGCCACACGGCCTCTGGAGGGCTTCCTGGCCGGTCGGAGGCTGCCTGTGGGGTGACTTCTCGTGGAGCCACTGAGGCCTGGCCTGACCTCCCTCTGGAGTGGCCTCCTGGAGGCCCACCTCCACGGCTGGGGACCGGGTCCCAGCACATGCACCTTCAGGGGCACGTGCAGGCCCCCCTCCCTCTCTCTTTGATCTTGGTAGTGGGTCCCTCCCAGGGGCCTCCACAGGCCCTGCACCCCTGCCCTCTCCAGGTGTCTCTCTGGGTGACTGCCGTGGGGTCAGTCACATCACTGGGCTGAGAACTCGCAGACACAGCCCCGTTGGCCCCTTCCTGGTCCTTTGGTCACCCCCACTTGGACATGTAGTGGTCGACGGGACTGCCAGGACTCCTGGAGTTAGCATGGAAGCATCCGGGTTGGTTTGGGGGAGGGTCCAGCAGGAAGGAAGCAGGGTCACTCCTGGGATCGGGTGTCTGCAGGTGGCACCATGGGAGGCAGTCCTTGCCCCACCACTAGTGCTGAGTAACCAAGCTGGTGGCTCAGCCGTCACTTTATTGTGCTTACACGTTCTGTGGTCAGGAGCCTGGACCGGGCCCAGCAGGGACGGCTTGTCTTCGCCCCATCTGCAGGAAGCCTCGGCCACTGGCAAGGACTCGCGTGGCCTGGGGCTGGCGTCCTCTGGAAGCTCCTCCACCCACGTGTCTGACCCTTGTTATCAGCTTTTAGCTGGGACCCCAGCCACCAAAGCCAGCCCCGATGCGAGGGGAGGGGACACAGACCCACCCCGTGGGAAGAGGGCCAAAGAATCTGTGAACACGTTTTATTTTCAAACTGCTGCTAGAGGGAAATGTTTTCCAAATTCCTTTCCCTTGGCCAGAATCCCAGGGGCGAGGGATTTCTGTCCCTGTGCAGGATTATCTCCAGGAAAACCCGTTTTAAACTCTGATTCCTGGCCAGGCAAGTGGCCACTTCACTGGGGGCCCAGGAGGCTCAGAGGGTATTTCCTTGAGTGAGTCACATGGGGTTCCTGGGGGACTGACTTTGAGCAACATCAGTAGAACCTTCCCTTTTCCCACCCCTTAGAGGGCCCCGGGGTGAGGTGGCTGTGGGTCTCTGCTCACCTGCTTTGTTTCGAATACACAGAGCCTCATCCCGGGCCGGGTGGACCCTGGGCTGGCTGGGTGGGGCACAGGGCTCCCACTGCAGGAAAGACAGCCCTGGGGTCTGAGGGAGATGCGGAGGGTGGCCATGGGTCCTCATCCCCTGAGCCTGGGGCCCTGGCCCCGCTTCCTGGACCCATGAGCCTCATCTAGTCCCCTGCTGGCCTGTGGCAGCACAAGAGCCATGCCCAGCTTTGGCTTCTAGATTCCCCCATGGCAGGGTGCAGGGTCAGGGTCATTCCCCGGGACCAGGGAGAAACGGCAAAGGGGCAGTGCCCAGCAGAGGCCAGGGCTGGAGGAGAGGCCTGCAGTTCTCCTGGGCCTCCATCTGCCCACCGACCTGGGGCTTTGCTGAACGCAGTCCTGGCCCTGGACTTTCCAATTTAGAGACTCTTATCCTTTTACATTCACTTATAATTTTAAAGTGTGGGCCGATGCATGCCATAAAGACATCGTGATTTGGCAATCACAGAGAATCACACACACGGTGTATATGTGTAAAAGCCATGATTCCTTTTCTGTTCAGCTTTTTTATTTTAATTAATTAAGTATTATTATTATTTGGGTACCAGAGATTGAACTCAGGGACACTCAACCACTGAGCCACATTCCCCAGCCCTATTTTGTATTATTATTATTATTATTTTTTAGAGACAGGGTCTCACTGAGTTGCTTAGTGCTTTGCCATTGCTGAGGCTGACTTTGAACTCAGGATCCTCCTGCCTCAGCCTCCCGAGTTGCTGGGATGACAGGCCTGTGCCACCAAACCCAGCTTCCTTCCCCTGGGCCACGCTGGCTCCTTCCCCTGGCTGAGCAGCCTTGAGCCGGGGAGGTTCCTCCACCGTCCACCCACAGAAGGCCGTCTGGGTTGTTCCCCAGGTCCAGCTGTTGTGAAGCCGCCATGGACATTCTTGTTTGGGATTTTGTGTGAACTTCACTTCTCTGGGATAAATTCCCAAGAATGTGATTGTGAGGTTGTTTGGTGGTTGTGCTTATTTTTTTTAGGAAGCTGCTAAACCCTTTTCTGGAGAGATGGGATCAGGTTACCTACCTACCAGAAGTGCATGAATGGTTCCGTTTCTCCACATCCTCCAAAGCAATGGGTTTTGCGACTATTTTTATTTTAGCCGTTCTGATGGGTGTGTGCTGACATGGTGCTGTGGTTTCCATTTCCACTTTTCTGACAACTGATGATGCTGAACATCCTTTCAAGTGCTTATTTGCAATCTGTATAACCTCTCTAATGAAATGTTTGCTCGTGTCTTTGCTCATTTTCTAACCGAATTGCTTGCTTTTTTACCATGGAGGGGTTTTTTTTTGATAGTCGTAGATGGACACAATACCTTTATTTTATTCATTTATCTTTCTGTGGTGCTGAGGATGGAACCCAGGGCGTCACACGTGTTAGGCAAGCGCTCCACCGCTGAGCCACGGCCCAGCCTATCCTGGAGCTTTAAGAGTTTCCCGTGTATCTCGGACCCTCGCCCCTGGTCTGGAGTGTGGTTTCTGGGTACCTTCTCCTAGTCTGTGGCTCACCTTTTCATGTTCTGATCCAGGTTTTGTTTTTAGCTTTACTCTTTTGTATAACTTCCAACGTATGGAAAGTTGGCTGGAGCCGTGAAAGGAGCCTCTGCACCCCACGTGCCACGCTGCAGCGCACCTTATCACCCTGTTTTCTGACCCACTTGAGAGCACGTTGCTGACAAGAGCCCATTGTGCCCTGAGACGGTGGGTCTCCTACAGCACGGACCAGATCCCCCAGACTCGGCAGCAGGACCATCAGAGTCAGACCTTGCTGTTGTAGGACACCACCCTGCGCCACAGACCCGAGTTCTCCTGTGGGCCCAGGGCCCGGCCCGGCCCCTGTGTTCGTCTGTTTCCATGCTTCTCTCCCGTGCTATGACCTAGAAGTCAAATCTTCGTTTGTGACTTTGTCCTTCCAATATTTTGTTCCACACTGATTCGACAGTTGGGGTCAGTGGTTTGGAATTCAGGAGGAAGCCTGTTGAGCAGATGGGGAAACTGAGGTCAGCAGCGCCCAGCAAGCCCCGTTGGTAATGCTTTTGCCACTTGGCTCAAGGTGACACCTGCCAGGTTCCTCCACGGTGCAGTTAAATTAATTAGTATTTTGAACTTACTAATTACTAAGTAATAATTAGTGAGTGCTCTGAGAGCAGACTCTTGGAGGCCAAGTAAATAGCCTGTTTCCTCCGACCTTTCACCAGCAGTCGGAGCATCCGCTGTTGATTCCTCCCTGAATCAATTATTAATATGCCGGTTGCCAAATGGAAGTTTTCTGATCCCATTATTCCTTCCACATTTACGAGTCAGCTTTCCCCCCATTCACGTATTCAATCATTTATCTTCATCATGAATCATTTATGTCGTAAATAAAGATGGCCGTCCATTACGGCATGGTGCTGCTCAGACCGTCCGTCCCAGGTCTGGCCAGAGGGAAGCCCTCTGTCTTCCCCCTTCCCAAGGACCCTGTCGTCTCTGTTGTTCTCGGGCACTTCCTGACCTCCTTCTGGCACAACCAACAGGGCCAGGCTCGGAATGCATGCGCTGCCCCAGCCCCGGGCTCGGTCTTTCCGGAAGGGCCCACGCTCCTGTGAGAGGAGCCGGGACTGGGCTCTGGGCCGGCGGTGAGTCTCTGGACAGGAGCTGGACTCAGCGCCACATCCACTCTGAGGCTGTCTGTACTGGAAACCGAGTTCACACCAACGCTGCAGCCTTAGCCCACGTAGTGGAGTTGTTCCAAACTTCTTTCCACCCTGGAGGCTCCCTTTCTAAAGGAGAAGCCTGCCCCCTTGTCCTGAGGTCACTTCCTGAGCGCTCAGCTCCAACACTTCCTGCCAACTGCCACTACCCAAGAGCCCATGAGGCGGGTCCCTGGAGCAGGAAGGAGGTGGTATGACCTTCCTGGGGCCACTGTAACCAATGACCAGCTCTGGAGACCAGGGCATGTGCAGGGTGGGCTGCTGGGGTCCAGGCTCTCTCCGGCTTCTGGGTGCTCGTGGTCCTTGTGGCCCTCAGCTGCAGACACAGGGCTCCACCTCTGCCTCATCGTCCACAGCCCGTCTCTCCTCTGTGTGCAAACTGCTCTCCCCTGTCACTGTGTCACTGACAGGGCAGGGGTTCTAACACGACCTGCGTGGCCCAGGTCAGTGGCCAGCATCACCACGGGCAGCCAGGCTGTCCTAGCCCACTCACACTGCAAACATTCTGTTTCCAAGTAAGGCCAAGTCGCAGGTGTGGGGCTGGCACTTCAATACGTCTTGCAGGGGACATGTCTCACCCGTGCGGGGTGGAGTCTTTGTGTAACAGGCCCCAGGCTTGCAGCTGTGGCTTCCTGGACACCAGGCTGGAGACTGAGTGCATAGGGAGGGAGGGGTCGGGACCCGAAGGACAGAGCGGGCAGCCACAGGCAGAGGTGCTGGAAGGAGTGCTGGCCCCAGTGGCCCCAGAGGGCTCGGGAGATGAGCTCACCCCAGATGAGGCACTCAGCAGCACTGCAGGAGCCCTGCTCGGGGACATGTCTGCTCGCTCCACAGTAGCCAGGGCCCCTCCAGAGTGTGCTGGCTGAGGGGTCAGCTGGGTGTGCCAGTCCAGGGCCGTCCTCAGTGTGAGAGCTCCGTGGCCTGAGCAGCAGCCGGGACCTCTCAGGCTCCTACCTGTATGATGAAGAGCTGAACTTCAGCCCCAACCTCCACTGGTGCCCCACAGGCATCCGCGCTTGGGGACTGCTACTCAGGCTTCGCCAGGCATCAGGCCGTTAAAAAACCTGTCCTGGAACTGGCACAGTGGCACACACCCTAGCTACTCAGTAGGCTGAGGAAGGAGGGCCCAAGTTCAAGCCAGCCTGGGCAACTGAGCGAGACCCTGTTTCAAAATAAAAATTGTAAAAGGCGCAGGGGAGTCTGAGACGTGGTTCGGTGGTGGAATTCTTGCCTAGCACACTCAAGGGTCGGGTTCAACCCCCAGTGCTGCAAAAACAAGCCAGCAAAACCCACCTGTCCAGGGGGGATCGTGGAGGGTGCTCCTGGTCCCACACGCCCAGGCCCTGTTTCAGACTCCCCAGGCTGCAGGTGGGCTTGCGAGGCACCGCCATTCCCGAAGAGCACGGGTCCCACGACTCGCTCCTGCCAGGGCAGGGCCGGCATCCTCATCAGGGTTTTGCAGCATCAGACTGAGCCCAGCATCTGGAATTCAAGAAGGTAATCAGATGATGCTGAGCTGCTCATGCAGACCGCTTCCCGTGAGCGACGTGGGGAAACAGAAACCCACAGAGACGTGGAGCCACGCACCAGGGTCAACACTGGACAGGCCTCAGCTTCTGCCCAGGTGTGGCTGTTGGGCCCTGGGGCTCAGGGAAAGGGCCAGTCCTCCCAGGCTGGAGCAGACATGCCGCTCCTTGGCTCCCTCGTGGAGGCAGGAGCACAGCTCCCCGCCCGCAGGTGCAGAGGCTCCGTGAATTTGTCAACACTTGAAAGGCCCTGGTTCCTGTGCTAACTTCCTGTTCCAGTTCAATTGCCAACATAACCACAGGCGGGTTAATTGCATGTCCATCAACATGCCCAGGGAGAGCACCGAGCCCACGCCCAACCCGGCCGAGCTCTCCGGCAGCTCCTCTAGGGCCAAGCTTGCCCCAGACTGCAGGAAGCCAGAAAGCAGAGGCCAAGCTGCGCTAGCCACACCCCTGGGGCCTGCCCTGTGCTCGGGGACCCCCATTCTCCTTCCTGTGAGCCGGCTTGCCTGCTGGGGAGCGTGGGAGCGGGATGACCTTCTGGGAGGCACCCGGCAATATTCCTCCCCAAGTGAAGCGCTCCTAACCAGCACCCCAGCAGGTGCAGGGGTTTCTCACCAGGACGCCCAGATGCAGAGGAAGGGCACTCACAGGGACCACCTGTCCACCACACCTGCACTGGAATCTGTCCCCGCACCTGGAGCAGAGGAGCTGGACCAGGGAGAGATCGCTGAGCTGACACAGCACCGCGTACTCAGGAGGACTGAGGTGACGGTGCCCGAGTGGCATAAAGATCCTCAGGTCCTGAGTCAAAGGACAGGAGCCACGCGCAGGCAGGCTGCGTGTGCTGCGCTGACCACGCCCAGCGCCCTCTCTGGCCTTCTGTGCTGATGTGTGTGTGCTTGGGGGGGCAGCAGGGCGCGGGAGCCAGTGCCCATGGTTTTTCACTTTAGAATCTTTTATACCTTTTGAATTTATCGTTTATTTGTTTGTTTTTGAGGTACTGGGGTGGAACCCAGGGAGGCTTTATCACAGAATTACACCCCCAATCCTTTGTATTTTGTTTTGAGACAGGGTCTATCTGCTTAGTTACTTGGCTGGCCTTGAATTTGTGGTCCTCCTGCCTCAGCCTCCTGAGCCACTGGGATTACAGGCGTGGGCGATGATGCTGGCACCTTTTAACTTTTTTTTTTTTTTTTTAGTTGTAGTTGGACACAATACTTTTATTTCTTTATATGTGGTGCTGAGGATTGAACCCAGGGCCCCGCACATGCTAGGTGAGCCACAACCCCAGCCCCCCTTTTTTAATATTTATTTTTTAGTTATAGGTGGACACAATACCTTTATTTTGTTTCTATGTGGTGCTGAGGATCGAACCCAGCACCTCACACGTGCTAAGCAATGCTGTTTACTGAGCCCCAGCCCAGCCCACACCTTTGACTTAAAAGAGTATTGTATTACTTTCCCAGACCCCCCTATGACACATGTCCACAAATTGGGTGACTTAAAACTATAAAAGTTTATTCTCTTATCGTTCTGAAGCCCAGAAGTCCAGAATCGAGGTGCCACAGAGCCACCTTCCTCTGAGGCTCCTAGGGGCTCCTTCCTTGTCCTCCCAGCCTCCAGTGGCCCAAGCATTCCCCGGGGGTGGTGCATCTCTGGTCTCTGCCTACATCTTTTTTTTTTTAGTTGTCAATGGACTTTATTCATTTATATGCCGTGCTGAGAATCGAACCCAGTGCCTCACACATGCCAGGCCAGTGCTCTGCCACGGAGCCCCAGCCCAGCCCTCTGCCTCCTCTTCACGTAGTTTTCCTTTAGTGTGGGTGAGTCTCAAATAGCTTTTGTCTTTCTCTAAAGAGGATGTTTGTCATTGGAGTTAGTGTCCAACCTAAATCCAGGATGACCTCACCTAGAAATGAGCCATAAATCAGACCCTGAGAGAGTCTGGGGATCTGCAGTCCAGCCCCTGCTCTGCCACGGATCCCTAGACACCTGGGTGTCTGGACACATGGACACCTGCCCTGACTCTCCAGGGCCCCTTTCCTCAGGTCCAGGCCACTCTGGGGGGACACACAGTGGGAGGGGGATGGAAATGACAAGAAGGAAGATTCCAGAAACCAGAATTGAAGCACGGAGGTGTATATGACGCCTGAGGACAGGTGCAGAGGGGGTGCAGCCTCTGCCAGGCTGAACCAGACTGGCACCCTGGGGGCTCCCACCCACTTGAGCCACACTTTGCCAGATACATAGCTGCAGAGCCAGGGGGGCACAGTGCTGGAGGCAGGATGCCCAGGGCTCTGCCCACAGCCATGGAGACTTGGAAGAGTGACCGCCGCTCCTTAGTGGCACAGTGCAGAGCTGGCCCAGGGCTGGTGAGAGGGTACAGCAGGATGGGCAGGGGGCTGCTTTTCAACAGATGCAGTTGGACCAATTTCATTCTGCACCTCAGCCTGGGAAGAAGCAGTGGGCCACCCTCCCAGCCCTCTGTGTTCCCAGCCCTGAGCTTGGATGGCCAGGAGGACCAGCCATGAACACCTAGGCAACAGCCCGTGGCAGTGTGGAGACAGGTGGCTGGGGAGGGGGGCCACACTAGAGAAGGGGTCAGGCCCACCGTCCATCAGGAGGCTGAGTGTGCTGGGCTGAGGCTGGGATGGGTGTGGGTGCAGGATGCTCAGGAGCCCAACAAGCTGCTGGTCCTTTCTGGGGCCATCTAGTGACACGTTATGAATACATTCACTTATTTAGCAGCACTGGGGGTTGGAGCCAGGGCCTCCCATGCGCTGGGTGAGCACCCTCCCACTGAGTTGCAACCCTGGCCTGAGAAAATGCGTTTCTGAAAGTTGCAGGACAAGCCAGAGGTTCTCGTTGGTCCACGGCAGTAAGAGAGCCCCCAACACATGCACACAGGGGGAAAGTCCTGACTCAGAGGCCGAGGCAGACAGTCTCTCATGGTTAGGTGAAGTGAAATGGACTGGAATTCAAACATGGCCTGTTATAATTTCTTGGTTCGATTTCCCCATCTGACCATATAAAATTTTCAGGAAGAATATGGAAAAAATAAAAGGGAGACAGAGGGAGAAGTGAGACAGAGACCAAGGAACAGGAACAGGAGTGCTGGGAGGGGCAGGCCCCGGAGGCCTGGCTGGACCTACTGGGCACCTCCAGGGGGCCCACCCTTCCCACACCTCGCTGCCAGCTTCTGGTCTCTAGAACCATGAGAAAATAAATTCTGGTCATCTAAGCTGGCCAGTCTGTGGTCACTTGCTGTGACAGCCGGGACACTGGCTGCACTGGCTTGGCCGTGATTGCCAATGGAGTCTCACCATTGGGGAGAACGTGGGATGGTGGAAGATTTGTGCTCCTGGGACTGTATGGCCTGGCTGGGTCACAGGAATAAGACCTAGGACAAGGCCATCTCCTTCCAGTGCTAGAGGAGATCTCAGGGAGCTTGGATGGCCAGGAGGACCAGCTAGAAACACATAGGCAACGGCCCGTGGCAACGGGGCAGAGTCCGGCCAGCCTAGGTTAGGGCCTCCTGAGGGTCAGGAGGTTGGGCTAGCTGGCCTGGCAGGGAGTGGACCTTGGGGCTATAACCTGGTGCTCAGTGGCCACAGGCTGTGGTTGGAGAGGGGTCAGCCCTGTGCATTCAGAGTCACTCTGAAAGGGGGAGGGGTGGAGCAGACACAAGGGCCTGGGCGGGTCACCAGCATCCACCGCAGCACCAGATCCTCTGACTGGCCCTGGATGACTCTTCCCGGCAGAACCCTTCTTCTCCAGGATTCCTGACACTACCCTGGCCCCCGTCACAATTTCTTGGTTCGATTTCCCCATCTGGTATCCCCTCCTTGGCCCCTCCTGTCCTGTCCCCTGTAGACCCTGCAGTATGACCCCTCCCACACCACTGATTGCCATTCCCTGCTATGCCTCATCTCCCAAGGCCATGTCCAGGCAGGGAGGGCCTGCCTCACTCACTCCAGAACCAGCCAGCTGCCTGACAATCACCTCCTGCTGGCCAAGTCCAAGTCCCCCAGAAGCCTGCCTGGCGCTCAACTTGGCGAAGAGCCCCGGCCCTTGTAGGGGTGCAGGTCCCAGAGTGCAGGCAGTGTGGCTATGCTCCCTGTACCCACACCCCCCACGCGCACCTCTGCAGTCAGAACCCTGTACCCACGCCCCCCACACGCACCCCTGCAGTCAGAACCCTGTACCCACGCCCCCCACACGCACCCCTGCAGTCAGAACCCTGTACCCACACCCCCACACGCACC